CCTGTGCCCAGGCCAGTGCTAAGCGCTTCAGGGGTCTTTATTTCACTTTCCTCCAAACTGTGTGCAGTACATACTGATATAATCTACATTTCACTGATGAAAACTGAAGCTGGGTGATATGCTTTGCGTAAAGGTTTTGCAAGGAATTGGTGGAGATAATGTCAGAAATCATAAACGCTCCAGAGCCTGCCCTCCCTCCCCCACACCCTTACTCTGAGATCAATGTCAGGGAAATCATTTGTAGTGCAGATCAGTGCTGTCCTATAGAAACACAATTCAAGATACTGGGAATTCCCTGGTGGTCCAGTGGTTAGGGGGTCTGACCCGGTGGCTCAGACAGTAAAGAATCTGTCTGCAATGCAGGAAATCTGGGTTCAATTGCTGGATCAGGAAGAGCCCCTGGAGAAGGAGATGGCAACCCACTCCAGTATTCTTGCCTGGAGAATTCTATGGAGAGGAGCCTGGCTGGGTACAGGCCACATGTTCGCAAAGAGTCAGACCCTACTGAGGGACTAACGGTTTCACTTTCCAGTGGTTAAAACTCCACAATTCCACTGCAGAATTCATGGGTTTGATCTCTGGTTGGCATGCCTCGGGCCTGACCAAAACTAAGAAATGTAATTTGATACAAATATAATTTTACCCTTTCTAATTATCAATGTTTAAAACAAAGGGGGTCAGGACTTCCCTGGCAGTCCAGTGGTTAGGAATCTGCCTGCCAGTGCAGGGACATCGGTTCCATCTCTGGTCTGGGAAGATTCCACATGCTGAAGAGCAGCTAAATCCTTTGCACTGCAACTCCTGAAGCTCATGGGCTCTGGAGCCAGTGTACCACAACTACTGCGCCGGTGTGCTCTAGAGCCCATGCTCGTCGAAAGCAGAGAAAGCCTGTGTGCCACAAGGTAGACCCAGCACAGCCTAAATTAAATAAAAACTTTTAAATACAAAATTAAATGGGGTGGTATTAATTTGAGGAATTTATAGAACTTGAAATGTCCAAATTTTCATTTCAATACTTAATACTAGTGAAATATTTTTTTTTAAGTTCTACCACTTGATTGCTACCAATCCATCTCCCTCCACCCCCGTGCACACATGCTCAGTCATGTAATCCCATGGACTTCAGCCCGCCAGGCTCCTCTGTCCATGGACTTTTCCAGGCAAGAATACTGGAGTGGGTTGCCATTTCCTTCTCCGAAATATTTTACATTCTTTTTTTTCATACTAAGTCTTTAAATCCTAATGTATATTTTACACTTACAGCTCATCTCAGTTCAGAGCAGCTACATTTCAAAAGGCAATAGTCACATGCGGCTATAGACAATAGTGGAGACTACATTAGGCAGCACAAGTAGAGTCTAATCCCAGATCTGCCATTTTTGTCACCCAGCAAAATCACTTCATCTTTCTGTGCCTCAGTTTCCTCCCTTGGATGGAAATGATATGAGCCCAAGTAACTGAGAATTAAGTACGGCAGTACTTAAAGCAGTATTTGCTGGTACACACATGTATGCAGTATTTGCTGGTATTGAGTGTGAACTCTGTCAGGTGCCAGTCTAAGCAGCATGCATTTATTCATTTATTGTTGTTTAGTGGTTCAGTTGTCTCTGACTTTTTGTGACTCCCCCACCCCCACCCCCACCCTGGCCATGGAGCCCACTGGGCTCCACTGTCCATGGAATTTCCCAGGTAAGAATACTGGACTGGGTTGCCATTTCCTTCTGCAGGAGATCTTCCCATCTCCAGCACTGACAGGTGGAGTCTTCACTACTGGACCACCTGGGAAGCCCTATTTACTCACTCAGCCATCACAATTGTTACTTGAGCCTGGAAAATGGAGTTACTAATATCCCCCATTCTGGACGTATAGTGAGGTTCTGACAAAAATTCAGAACGCATCCCTCAAAGTCTCGTCTGAGTTTCCTTTTAAGGAGCTTTTTTTTTTTCTCTCGTCTGAGTTTCAAAGCACTTCCCCCAGGACTTCCCTGGTGGTCCAGTGGTTAAGAATTCACCTGCCAACTCAATACCAGAAAAACAAACGACCCAATCAAAAACTGGGGGAAAGACCTAAGCAGACGTTTCTCCAAAGAAGACATACTAACAATCACATGAAAAGATGCTCAACATTGCTCATTATTAGAGAAATGCAAATCAAAACGAGATATCACCTCACACCAGTCAGAATGGCCATCATCAAAATGTCTACAGACAATAAATGCTGGAGAGGGTGTGGAAAAAAGGGAACACTCTTGCACTGTTGGTGAGAATGTAAATTGATAACAACCACTATGGAAGACAGTATGGAGATGCCTTAAAAAAACAGAAATAAAACCATCATATGTCCCAGCAGTCCCATTCCTACCCATATAACCTGAGGAAATCAGGGTTGAAAAAGACATATGTATCCCATTGTTCATTGCAGCACTATTTACAGTAGCTAGAACATGGAAGCAACCCAGACATCCATCGACAGATGAATGGATAAAGAAGTTGTGGTACATATACATGATGGACTATTACTCAGCCATAAAAAGGAATACATTTGAGTCAATTTTGATGAGGTGGATGAACCTAGAGCCTATTATACAGAGTGAAGTGAGTCAGAAGACAAAGATAAATATCGTATTCTAACACATATATACGGAATATAGAAAAATGGCACTGAAGAATTTACTTACCGGGCAGCAGTGGAGAAACAGACATAGAGAATAGACTTATGGACATGGGGAGAGGGGAGGAGAGGGTGAGATGTATGGAAAGAGTAACATGGAAACTTACATTACCACATGTAAAATAGATAGCCAACAGGAATTTGCTGTATGGCTCAGGAAACTCAAAGAGGGCGCCTGTATCAACCTAGAGGGGAGGGATGGGGCGGGAGATGGGAGGGAGGTTCAAAAGGGAGGGAATATATGTATACCTATGGCTGATTCATGTTGAAGTTTGACAGAAAACAACAAAAGTCTGCAAAGCAATTATCCTTCGATTAAAAAAAAAATTCAACTGTCATTGTCAGGGGACCAGGGTTCAACTCCTGGTTTGGGAAGATTCCACATACTGCGGAGTAACTAAGCCCTTGCACTCTAGAACCCCTGCTCTGCAACAAGAGAAGCCAGCACAAGGAGAAGCCTGCCCACTACTAGAGAGTAGCCCCCGCTCACCACAACTTGAGAAGACCCCCGCACAGACATGAAGACTGTACTGCCAAAAAAAAAAAAGCACTTTCTCCGTTTTTTTTTTAATTCTAGCAAGAGTCCTTTGTCCCTTCCTTCTGTCACATATCAGGTAGTTTTTTTTTTTTTTTTTTTTTAACATCAAGTAGGTTTTAAGCCTGTTCTGTGCCTCGTGCTATAGGAGACACTGTGGAATGGTGAGGTGAACAGGACAGGCACAGATTCTACTGTCCAGAAGGAAGCACCAAGCTCCTTTGTCCATGACACGTGGTGGGAGAGAGAGGTGTGAGGAACGTCAGTGCAAAGCCTAGCGTGGTCATCCCAGACTTGGTGGGTGTGGGCTTCATCAGCGAGTACCACTTTGGGCTATACGCCATACTGGTTTGGGGAAGGAGTAGAACCCCAACTTCTTCAAAACTCGTCATACCTCCCTTTCCGAGTCCCCACCACTGGAGGGGAAGCACCCCCGCCCCACCCTTTTGCCAGAATCCCCCCCTCTTCAGCAGTTTATTCCCACTTCCCAAGTACAGAGCCTATTTGCTCAGTTTGGGAAAGTCCCAGGTCTCCTTCCTCCTTCCTGCAGCCTGGGGGTATGGAGCTGGTGTCAGTCACTGTCGGTCATGTGCCTGTGGCCTCAGTAGAAGGCTCTAGTCTCAGGGGTCCTGCCCACCTCCCTTGGACCTTATCTTCCTCACCATCTGTCCCTTTTTTTCTCCTCACCAACGGAACCCCCTGCCCTCTCATATTCAGCCGTTTAATTGCAAAAGCAGGCCGTTTGTGGGAGACCACAAGGCGGCGACCCCTTTCATTTACCGGCTGGGGTGGGGGTGGGAGGGAGCTAAAAGACAGGCTGCAAGGAGAGGAACAATACTAGGAGCCACAGCCTATCGTCACATCTTTTGAGCCGTCCGGGCTTCCTTCCCTTTGTCCCAGTACATCCCTAAAAGCTTGGAAAGCATTTCTGCCGGGCAGCAACTGGCCGGGGTCGCTTCTCCTGGCCTTTCAAGAGATCCTGTGATTTCAAAGAGGCTGATTGCCCCAGCTCACACAGAAGCAGTCTGACAGGCTGCCAGGTCACTACGGGGGCCGTACGGAGAAGAGAACAGGCACTCCCCCCGCAGGCCCGCATGGCTCCGGCGCCGGGAGGAATTGAGGAAGTGAAGCCCCAGGGCTCGGTGCCCTCTGCCCCATCCTGGCGGGGGTGGGGGGGGGCGGGGGTGAGGAGGGGAGGACGGGAAGAGGAATGGGAAGAAAGAGAAAGGAAAGGTGGGAATGTTGAGGTTCTCCAAACTCAAGAGTAGAAAGACGCTGGGAAAACCTTGCCCATTCATCCCTGTAGAAGGGTTGAGCGGAGCCTAGAATGGAGCCGGACCCTAGCTGCACGGAACACCCCAGCTCGCGCGTGTTCTTTAAACGCCTAGATCCCGAACTCTGCGCGCGGGTGACGGCGGGGCTGGGCCGAGGTCTGGTCACATGACCTGGCCTGAGGGGCTCGAGGCCCCCACTTCACCGGTGGGCGTCCCCCGCAACGCGTGGTCGACCTTCATTGGCCAGTGGTGCGGCCAATAGAAATCGGCCATCTGGGAACCCAGCGTTCCGAGGCACAGCCTAACATGCTGAGCCCAGAAGGGTCCAATGGAAAGGCAGGGCTGTGGCCACAGACCAATGATAAAGTGAGGGAGGCGGGCCAAGAGGCCGGACCAGGCTGGTTTGAGAGCAGACGGGGTATAAAAGGGCACGGCCGGCGGCGGCGTCCGTCCCCACTGCAGAGCTGCTCCCGGACGAGTGACTTAAAGGGCCCGCGCGCCACCGCCCCCTCGGCCCGCCATGCTGCTACCCGTGCCGCTGCTGCTCGGCCTTCTCGGCCTGGCTGCCGCTGACCCCACCGTTTACTTCAAGGAGCAGTTTCTGGACGGAGGTAACGGCTAGTCCCGCTCGAGATCGTCCTAACGACGCGGCTGGCCCCCCGGCCCATATCTGCGTGTCGCTTGTAATTACTGTTCAGAGGGCCAACACGGTTTCCTTCAGGGACTGGAGCCGCAGGCGAGCCTTACTTCGGCGTCCTTGGGGAGCGTGGAGGGAGCAGCGGCTTTCCGAGGCGGGAGTTAGGGTTTGCCTGAGAATCTTTTAAGTCACCAGAGATGTCAAACTAGAGGTTGGGGTGGGGACAGTCTGGGGGGAGGGGGTTATCTTCTTCCTTGGTCCCAGCAATTTGTGGCTGGGAGGTTTGGTGGGGGGTTGATCACCGCCGCGCTTACCTGCTTCTTTGGTCGTCTAGACGGGTGGACCGAGCGCTGGATCGAATCCAAACACAAACCGGATTTTGGCAAATTCGTTCTCAGTTCCGGCAAGTTCTATGGTGACCAGGAGAAAGATAAAGGTAAGAACTTAGGAGTGGGTGCTCAGATCCAGGAGGACAGAGTTTGGGTATCCCTAGGAGTAGGGCAGGTGGAGGAAGAGGGGACTGGTCTGTATTTTACATCCTTAGGATTCCCCGGGGGGTTGGTGCTGAGCCCTGATCTGACTATAGTGTCTCGGTAGGCCTGCAGACTAGCCAGGATGCCCGGTTCTATGCTCTGTCGGCGAGATTCGAGCCCTTCAGCAACAAGGGTCAGACGCTGGTGGTGCAGTTCACGGTGAAACACGAGCAGAACATCGACTGTGGGGGCGGCTATGTGAAGCTGTTTCCAGCTGGTTTGGACCAGACAGACATGCACGGAGACTCCGAATACAACATCATGTTTGGTGAGGGGACCCCACCCTAGTGCTGATTTTTGGTCACTTAGAGGGAGTTTGAAACCCGGGGAGTTGTTTACAGCCCGTGAACGGTGGTCTTGAGAACATAGAAAACACTTAAACGCTTAGACATTTCTTTGACAGGGAAGGTGAGGAAATAGTTAGGAACGACTTACTGCATTTTTATCATCAGTTTAAGACTAATTCTTGCAGTTTTACTATATAGGCATTTCTTTGTTCCCAGTTGTGCAAGTGAAGATACTGAGTTCTGGAGCACTGATTTGTTTTTGCTTTTTTTTTTTTTCCAAGTGTCCACCCCCAGTTCCTTAGAAGCTCTGAATTCTGTTTTTTTCAGCTTGACAGTCCTGAATTTAAGAACCAAGTTGTCTTTTTGTAAAGGGGTGGGCAGGGGCTTGTAATGGTGGACAGACTGTAGTTTTGACCAGATCTGCTTCTCATCAAGGTCCGGACATCTGTGGCCCCGGTACCAAGAAGGTTCATGTTATCTTCAACTACAAGGGCAAGAATGTGCTGATCAACAAGGATATCCGCTGCAAGGTGTGCATTGGGGGTGGTGACAAATGGCTGTGAGGGGAGGCTTCGATCCCAGGCCGGTGGGCGGGGCCACTTATCTTCCATTTTCTTCAGGACGATGAATTCACCCACCTGTACACGCTGATTGTGCGGCCTGATAATACCTATGAGGTGAAGATTGACAACAGCCAGGTGGAGTCAGGCTCTTTGGAGGATGATTGGGATTTCTTGCCACCCAAGAAGATAAAGGATCCTGATGCTGATAAGCCTGAAGACTGGGACGATCGCGCCAAGATCGATGACCCCACAGACTCCAAGCCTGAGGTTGGTGGTTGGGTAGGGACTCCCCGCCATGGAGGGTGTGGAGGACAGCTGGGCCTACTCTGACCTCCTGATGTATCCTCAGGACTGGGACAAGCCTGAGCACATTCCTGACCCTGATGCTAAGAAACCCGAGGACTGGGATGAAGAGATGGACGGAGAGTGGGAACCACCTGTTATTCAGAACCCAGAGTACAAGGTGAGCCTGGCACTCTGAGGAGGGTGGTGCACAATGGGGAAGGCACTGATCTTCGCTCAGCCATCGGTTTACTTCTGCAGGGGGAGTGGAAGCCCAGGCAGATCGACAACCCAGATTACAAGGGCATTTGGATCCATCCAGAGATTGACAACCCTGAGTATTCCCCTGACAGCAACATATATGCCTATGAAAACTTCGCTGTTCTAGGCTTGGATCTTTGGCAGGTGAGAGGTGGAGGGAAGAGGTGGCTCCCTTGGGGACCTCAAGGGCTCAGGGTCAACCCAGGAGAAAAGAGGACAAGGGTGGGCAGACTCCAAAATGGTGTGCCGCCGCCCTCCCCCCCCTTAAGAAGTTACTGGTTTGTCATTACCGGGTTCTTAAAGAGCTTGCTTTGGCTTGTACTTAATATGTTCCAGGTACTACTTCCCAAGTATCTCTGTGGGAACTCACTCACTTAATTGCACCCCACAGCATAGAAAGGCAGGTACATAACCCCATTAGAACTTAGCTTCACAGGGACTGAATTTTTGTCCTTTTTGCCAACATACTTTCTGCATCTAGCATGCTGCTTGGCACATAGAATGTACTAGAAAAATAGTTTGAAGAAGAGAATGAGACCCCATTTTATAGATGAAGATACTGAGGTGCAAAGAGGTGAAGTCACCAGCTCCAGGTCATATATAGTAAATGGCAGAGCTGGGGTTTGAATCCAGGCAGCCTGTGTTTCACCTGTAATGTTAGACTGTAGTATTGTGTAGTGGTTATGTGAGCATGGGCAGGAGACCTTTTCAAGGCCAAGGCCAACAGGTATCCCTTCTGACCACGCATTCTGGCCCTATACAGGTCAAGTCTGGCACCATCTTTGACAACTTTCTCATCACCAACGATGAGGCATATGCTGAGGAGTTTGGCAACGAGACGTGGGGTGTTACAAAGGTGAGACCAAGGTCCAGCCTGGGTTTGGGGGTGGGCAGGGCGGGCAAGGGAATCCAGGCCTGAGGGGTGTGTATGTGGTTTGTACACAGGCAGCAGAAAAGCAAATGAAGGACAAGCAGGATGAAGAGCAGAGGCTAAAGGAAGAGGAGGAGGAGAAGAAAGGCAAGGAGGAGGAGGAGGCAGACAAAGATGAGGAGGAGGACAAGGATGAGGATGAGGAGGATGAAGATGAGAAGGAAGAGGAGGAAGAAGAAGATGCTGCCGCTGGCCAGGCCAAGGATGAGCTGTAGGGGCCACCTCCGCTTCCAGGGCTGGACTGAGGCCTGAGCGCTCCTGCCGCAGAGCCGGCCGCGCCAAATAATGTCTCTATGAGACTGGAGAACTTTCATTTTTTTCCAGGCGGGATCCAATTTGGGGTGGATTTTGTTTTTGGCTCCCCCCTCCCCCCCTTTTTAAATTTTTTTTTCATTTTTTTTTTTTTTTTACTGGCATTTTGTCTCTTGATTCTCCTGTAGCCCTCACCCCTGGCCTTCATCTGTCTTGATTGACATCTTTGCTTGCTTCTGTCTCCTTCACTCCAGATCCCTAAGTTCCCTTCCACCTTGGGGACTCAGGGTGGGATGTGGTGTGGAGGAGAAGCCCAGGCCCAAAGTTCCATCTGTTCTCCTTCCTGGATCCCAGAGGGTGGGGTAGGAGAAGAGGGTGGCATCCCCAGCCCCCCAGCACTGAGGAAGAATGGGGCTCCTAAGGCCTTAGCTCTGATCCTTTCCCCTTTCTCCCTGCCCCCAGGACTGGGCCACTTTTGAGTGGGGCGGTGGGTTCTAGCTCAGCTCATGCTGAGAATGTAAGAGCTACAAACAAAATTTCTATTAAATTAAGTTTTGTGTCTTCCTCCTGTGTCTCCTGGGAGAGGTAATTGTTTAGTGAGATTTGTTTTTTAGCCACTAGAATTGTTGGCTGAATGTCCCCATAAGGTTACAGGAGCCCTTGTTTACCTCCAGAGCCTCAGGTGAATGAGAAAGAGTAACCATTTCCAGTGCCATTACAAATACACACCACTTATTAGCTCGTGGAGTCTTTTCATCAAACTGGTGAGTTTTGGTTCTAGTATCAGTTGAGTTTGAGACATTTAGGAAGAGGTGGGGTTTGAACCCACACCTTAGCCACCAATTCATGTGAACTCAAGACGTTGAACTAGCATACACATCTCTTGCTGATAAAGGAGCAAGACTACAACAGCTATTAGTTTTAAACACATTTTCTGATTACTAGCCAGTGTTAAAAGCTATTCCTTTTATAGTCAAGGAAATAGGTTCAGAGATGTTATCTACCCCAATGGCCTTGAGTGGCCAAGTCAGGGTTTGAACCTCTTGAAGGGAAAGAGGTGGCCCCGAGGGAGGGAGTGAAAGTGTCAGAAGAGCCTGTGGGCCTGTAAGGTTGGCATAGGCCCACTTTGTTGCGCCTCACAAGGCTGCCATTAATGTGCAGTGGGTGGTTGGGAACTGATGTCCCTTATCTGCAGGAGAGAGGGAAGAAAGAATTCCTTCACCCCGGTGTCAGCTAGGCTTGTGAAAGCTTACTAGCACAGGATATGCTGTGAAGGAAGAAGCTGCAGGACCTGGTAATAGTTGGGTAAGGAATGAGGTGGCAGGTCCCGGCCTGGTGTTTTCTCAGATGTGAATGGTAAGAAGAGCTGGTTAGGTGGCAGGTAACAGTTCAGGATAGGGGTAGGTGGAAAGTCCACCCACTAAATGGAAGATAAGTACATCACCTCCATCCTGTCTGCCAAAGCACCTTCAGCTTTGGCTAACCAACCCTTCCACTCCTTGTTCCATGGGTAGGACTCCTTCTAGTGTCTTGGGGCCTAGCCCCACCCTTCTGGCAGACCTCCAGAATTGGTATATCCGGTGAAAGCTTAAGGAGAGAATTGTGTGTTCAGTGTAGGGAAACCATGAACGTTACATTTTCCTCAACTACTCAGATGGAGATAGTTGGGTGAACAAAGTGATCTGGGGAGGAGCAGCAGACAGGTAGGGAGACCCAAGAGCTAGAACTGTTAAGATTCATTCCAAAAATCCAGCTCTTCCCTTAGGATTAATGAGGCCACAGAATGGCCTTGTGTCCCCACTTCGGTGGCAAATTTCCGTGTTTAACTGTTGGTGACCTTTCAAGTATCCTTGCTAGTTCTTAAAGGGCTTGATAGGCTTCCTGTCAGGTGGCCAGACCAGAGTAAGTCTCATTTGGAATGAGCAAAAAGACATGAAGATTTTGTGGAAGAAATGAAAATTTAGCAAGTACATTGCTTGTTAAACGTCAACAAACTCATGGGCATGAAACTGGGGGTCTCGGAGCCATTTTGTGGCCTATGACGTCACCGCTAACGGGCATGGCGTCACTCGCAGGAAACCTCTTCATGGTAGAGCAAGAAGTCCCCCTCCCCTCTCACGGAATAGAATTCCGTCTGCGCATGCTTTGCTCGAGGCCGCGCTCGTGCGCATGCTCACGATGGCCAAGGGGGCGCGCTCAGGTCACGTGCTGTGGTGGTCGGCGCGCGCACTGCCTGCCCCGGAAGCTGTCGGCGTGCGGCGCGGCTGGGCGCTAAGATGGCGGCGGCGTGAGTTGCATGTCGTGTGAGGATTCCGGGGCCGCCGTGTCGCTCGGGTCCCACCATGGCCGTCACGATCACGCTCAAAACACTGCAGCAGCAGACCTTCAAGATCCGCATGGAGCCTGATGAGACGGTGCGAGGCCGGCCGGAGCTCCGGAGCGGGAGCGACGGGTGCAGCGGGTGGGGTGGGGGCGGGGAGGCCGGGATCCCGACGAGAGAGGCGGGGAAGACGGCGCAGGGTCGCGCCCTGCCCATTCTCCCTACGGGCTTGACTTTCCCAGATACCCTGATGATCCCCGGCTCTGCCCCTGGTGGCTCGGGCAGCGCTCTTGGGTCGATCTCCAGGCGAGGCCCCACCTCCGGGGCGCCCGCCAGGTCCTGGCTCCAATGTCAGCGCTCTCGCGGGGCGCGGGATCCGCAGGCTCAGATTCCCGGCCGGGCTGCTTTCTCTGGAATGGGTCCTCCGAGTTCCTACCCTTGTAGGCTTTGCCTCGGGACCTTGGTGGCCAAATCTGGGAGTAATGATCAGGAGATGCCGGGTGATGACAGCAACTATGATGATGATGATAATAAACGGTCTGAGTTTCAGTGGTCCGTGTTTGTTTTTCACCAGTCGCTGAGCGTTTTCATGATGTTTTACTAATTCTGCAAAGTAGGCTTGTCATTTGGGCACTCTTGAGTGTCCTCACTTAACAGATGTGGAAACTTGGAGCTTGAAGAACTTTGCTATAGTCGCATATGCATACAGCAAGGCGTGGCGGAGCTGATTTCAATTCGGATTTGCCTCAAGTGAGAGCCCACGGTCTAAACATGATGCTGTGTTTTTGGCCGGAAAGAGACTTAGGACCTAAAAAAACGTGTATTTGGCACTTTTTGCACAATTTCCCCCATGAGGGAGATATTAAAATTCATTTTTTGTAAAAAGGAAACAAACTCAGATTTTTTTGACCAACCCAGCTGTTTGGGCAAGTTAGGTAATCTCTGTGCCTCTATTTTTCTCAAATACAAAATAAGGATGTGGAACTTTCTTCTTGGTGCACTGGCTGAGGCTGCACTTTCAATGCAGGGGGCCTGGGTTCAATCCTTGGTCAGGGAACTAGATCCCATATGCCGAAACGAAGATCCTATGCAGCCAAATAAATAAACAGCTTTTAAAAAATGCAAAATGAGGCTCATGGTTAACTATTCCACTCAGTTACTACAAGGGGTTGAACCTGTGACGTATACATTTATAACAGCACTATCAACTTAGGATTCTCTCAGTAAACACCACTGTCGGCAACCTTAGGTCTCCCCTTTATAATTGATTTGCGTTTCATCATGTTTACATCATTTGAAATATGTATTAGTTTTTTTATTCTCCCACGTGAGTGTCCTCTATGAGAACAGGGACTCATGTTGAGTCTTTGTGCTCTGTCATCTGTACCTAAAATTGCACCTGGCACATATTAAGTGTTCAGTAAATATTTCATTGAATGGTACAATGGTTTAGTATGCTTGATTATGAAGCTTAGCTATTCGGCCATCAGGGCTTGCAGTCTGCCCACTAACTGGAAGAGAAGAGAGAATCTGGGGGGTTTGCAATGATCATTTACCCCTTCCTCCAGGTGAAGGTGCTAAAGGAGAAGATAGAAGCTGAGAAGGGTCGTGATGCTTTTCCCGTGGCTGGACAGAAACTTATCTATGCTGGCAAGATTCTGAGTGATGATGTCCCCATCAGGGACTATCGCATCGACGAGAAGAACTTCGTGGTCGTCATGGTGACCAAGGTGGGTGATGTCTGCTGGTTGGGAGGGTGGGTGGATTGGCTGGGGAGCTGGCAAACAGCCTGTGCCCAAGAGAGATTAGCCATGGACAGGGCGGGGCGGAGCTGTGGAGGGATGTTGGGGCCAGATAGGGGTACTGATGCCTGCTCCCTTTTTCTGGGTGTCACAGGCTAAAACCAGCCCAGGCACCTCAGTACCCTCAGAGGCCTCACCCACTGCCACCCCGGAGTCTTCCACATCCTTCCCGTCGGCCCCTGCCTCAGGCATGTCCCACCCCCCACCTACTGCCAGAGAAGACAAAAGCCCATCGGAGGAATCTGCCCCCACGACGTCCCCGGAGTCTGTGTCAGGGTAAGGCAGGGAGCCGCAGCCGCAGTTTGGGCCCTGTCTTCCCTGCCCCTTTCAGCTTCCACGGTCGTGGTTCCACACACCTGGGGGGAGGGCAGGCCGCCAGAAGCCAGGGTCCGATTTCTCTCTCTTGAATTTGCAGCTCTGTTCCCTCTTCAGGTAGCAGCGGGCGAGAGGAAGACGCGGCCTCCACGCTAGGTGGGTGGGTGGTCCCCCAGTTGAAAATGGCTGGATGCCGCAGGCATCAGCTGGCCTCCTATGGGCACGGGAGGGCCGGGAAGCTGCCCTTTCTTCTCGGTGACCTGGCCTTTGCTGCTCCCTCCACAGTGACGGGCTCTGAGTATGAGACAATGCTGACGGAGATCATGTCCATGGGCTACGAGCGAGAGCGGGTCGTGGCTGCCCTGAGAGCCAGCTACAACAACCCCCACCGAGCCGTGGAGTATCTGCTCACGGTGAGGTGGGGCTGCTGCCTCCCGCGGAGTTCTCAAGGGAGCATGCGGACTTTGGTGCTCTGAAGGGTGGTCAAAATCTGTCCCCCAAAACCTTTGGGTTAGGGTTCTAGCCAGGAAAGAACTCCTGCAGGAGCCGGGACGAGAGCGGTGGGGGTGGGCCTGGGAGGGCAGAGCGGAGGCCTCCTGTGTCTCCCACCAGGGCTGAGTGTGCAGGAAGGGAGGCAGTGGGCAGTCTGTGCTTGGAACTAAACAGGACACCTGACAGGGAATTCCTGGGAGCCCCGAGCCAGAACATGGTTCTGTCCAGGAGAGCCAAGTTTCAGAGCCGCCATCCACAGAAGCAGGTGAGTGATGGGGAGGTGTGCACGTGGGGTGCCTGCTGTTGCAGCACCTGGCACCTGACTCATCCCACCCACCCCATACTTCTGGGAGCCCAGGGGGTGTCTGACCACACCTCTTCCCCCTGCTAGCAGGAGAGAACCCCTTGGAATTTCTGCGAGACCAGCCTCAGTTCCAGAACATGCGGCAGGTGATTCAGCAGAACCCTGCGCTGCTGCCAGCCCTGCTCCAGCAGCTGGGCCAGGAGAACCCCCAGCTCTTACAGGTACAGGCCTGGGGGCAGAGGGAGTCAGTGCAGGCCCCATCTCCCTTAGAGAGAGCCCACAGAGAGAGCCCAGCCCAGCGTGGTGGATAGGCACGACCGACATGATAGTCTCCTGCTGTTCCCTGTGACTCGACGACCTCCATGGTTTCACATGATGCTTCCAACCACCTGTGAGGTGTAGGTGCTGTTGTCACACTCCCACAGAGGAAGGTGCCAGAGGCTTGGAGCTGCCTGGCAACTGGTAGAGTGTGTGTCTGCCTCCAGCCTCTGGGGCCTGCACTCTGACTTGGCTCCACATTTAGCTGTTGCTTCATAAACGCCCATTGGGTTGCAGCACTGCTGTGCCCTAGTTGGTTTTGACACCTCCGAGCTCAGCAAAGCTCCATCCTGCCCTTGAAGGTTCCGAGGCAGAGGAGCAGTGGCCCCTGAGTATGACGGGGTCCTCTGGGTTCTCTGTGAAGCCTGCCTCTCCTGATTCAGGCATCTGCTGCTTCTACCCCAGACATTTCAATCTCCTTTGCTGCCTCCTGCTCACCTCCTCCAGATGCTGGAGGGCCTGGGCTGCCCATCTTCATTCTTTATGTGCTGTCAATCATGGGGCCTTTAACCTGTGTATGTGTGTGTGAGTCACTCAGTTATGTCGGACTCTGCAGTCCTATGGACTGTAGCCCGCCAGGCTCCTCCATCCATGGGATTCTCTCAGCAAGAATACTGGAGTGGGTTACCATGCCCTTCTCCAGGGGATCTTCCCGATCCAGGGATTGAACCTGGGTTTCTTGTATTGCAGGCAGGTTCTTTACTGAGCCACCAGAAAACGGCCCCCCGCCCCCCCCTTAAATTTGTATGATCAGCATGGACTCTCTGGATGCCATGTTCTCCAGGACTGACTTGATGCCTCCATGAAAATGCTTTCTACATATCCAAGACCAGAACAGATTCTTCCAGCCTTCCCTAACCCTGCCAGGACCAACCTGGGCTTGCTTGAGCCCCAGGCGCTGGGGGCCTGCTGGGCTTATCCCCAACCTGTCCTGTTTGCTCTGCCTCTAGAACATTCAGCCCAGCCCTGCACTCCACCTCTGTGGCTGCCACCTCATCTTCTACTGGGTCCCCAGGCGGCCACTATCCAGACCTCGGCTTCTGCACTTTCTCTGTGGTTATTCTCCACCAGAATCCAGATTCCTGAAAAAGTGCTTTTTCCTTTGATGTGAAAATTGTCAAGTGTACATAAAAACAGGGGCATATCAAACCCCCCCAGATGTGCAACACCCAGATGAATTCATCTTTTTAAAAAGTACACAGATGTCTTTTCCTAGTTGATTCTCACCACCATGGTGTCCTGTCACGCTAGAAGGCACTAGAAGAAAGCAGTTTAGACTTTGCCTCCCTCTCTGATCTCATCTGCTTCCTCCTTCCCTTTCTTGTTTATAGTTTTGCCACATGGATTTATTTGTTTCTGTAGTTTTCCAAATACACTCCTATCCCTGGGTCTTTGCATTTGCTGTTGGCTCTATGTGGAAAGAAACTTTCTTCTCCATTCTGTGGATCACAGGCCCCTCCCCTCCTGGCTTAAAGTGTCTTTCTCAGCCCAAGGTCTACTCTGATGTATGGCAGGGTCAGTATTTACATTGTAAATAATGGTCAACTTATTTGCTTGCTAGCTCCTCTAGGACAGGCCCACACCACTGTGACTGTTTGGCCAGAGTAGGTACCCTGTAAATGTTTGCTGAATGAGCGAAAGGGGCTGAGAGGGACCTGAGGGAGGGGGGACAAAGGCTATGGTCACCCTTCTCCTGTCTCCTATAGCAAATCAGCCGGCACCAGGAGCAGTTCATCCAGATGTTGAACGAGCCCCCCGGGGAGCTGGTGGACATCTCGGACGTGGAGGGCGAGGTGGGCGCCATAGGTGAGGAGGCCCCACAGATGAACTACATCCAGGTGACGCCGCAGGAGAAGGAAGCTATAGAGAGGGTAAGAGGCCTGGCCAAGAGGGCTGTGACCTCGTGGGTGGGCAGGGCCCTCACCTCTTGCTTATACCTGCCTGTCTTCCCACAGTTGAAGGCCCTGGGCTTCCCTGAGAGCCTGGTGATCCAGGCCTACTTCGCTTGTGAAAAAAACGAGAACTTGGCTGCCAACTTCCTCCTGAGTCAGAACTTTGATGACGAGTGATGCTGGGAGGCCAGGCTGCCCACCGCCCCCTCCTCCCCACCTCCTACCCTCTCCACAAAAGTTTTATAAAAGAAAAAAATATATATATATATTCATGTTTATTTAAGAAGTGGAAAAAAAAATCAAAAGCTAAAAAAAAAGAAACTCCGACCCAACTTCCCACTCTCCTAAAGTGGCCCCTTATTCCCATCTTGGCCTGAAAAGACCTGGGCCAGACAGCTGTCCCCCCTCCCCACCCCCCACCCCAGCCCAGCCTGCTCCAAGGAGCTGGCAGAACTGGAGGTGACAGATGGGCCCCTCTTGGCCTGTGTCCCAGCTCCCTGCAGCCAGATGGAGAGGCGGCTGCTTGCTTCCCCACTCCCCCAGAGAGCCCCCGAGACCTCCCCCGCCCTCTTCCAGGGTGAGGGGAAGCTGGAGCTCCAAACTTTTGATCCTCCATTGGAGTGTCACATCTTTCCATCTGGGGTGAGCACTCAAGAGGCCCAAGGACTCCTCCGTGGTTTGGCCTGGGCTTCCATCCTGCATCCCTTTGCTGGGGGGGAAGGTCTGGTTTGTCCTGCTTGGGGAAGGGGAAACATCAGAGTCGCTCTGGAGTTTGAGGCTAGCCCCCCACCCCAGAAGAGAACTGTTGTCTCTGATAAAGGTTTTGAAGTGAATAAAGTTTTAAAAGCCAGTCCTGTGGTTCATCCCTACTGTGGCTTCCCATTCCAGCTGGCCTGGGTCTAGGGGCTAGCTGGGCACAGGAGATGGGGGAATGCCATGAAGGGGCAGAGGGGTCTGTCTGCCTCTGCAGCTTGTGGCTCCCAGTGTACCCTGCCCCCCACCACCAAACTGTGTTATTCCCAGGCAGTGGGCCCCAGCCTTGGAAGGGCTACTGCTCTCTCCACCCCCCATCATCACCACAGTCTGTTTTGGCTACACTTCCCCCCTGGTAATTGGCTAATTACTGGAGATTAATGTTGGTAAACAGAAGCCTTCTTCTCCTCTGCCATCTGCTCCTCCATTATTTCCCCATTGTGCCCCTCCTTTTATTCCCCCTGAAGCCCCAGAGTTGGTCGGCATGGTCTTGAGTCCCCTGAGTGAGCAGAGCCAGGCAAGGGTGGGGGATTCCCTGGCTCCAGGTGTTGGGGAAGGAACCAGTGTGCCCAGGGAGGGGTGTGATAAGAGAACATAGCTCTTCAGGGGTGGGGCAAGTTTTATTGGGAAAGAACCCAGCTCAGGAGTTGGGTGTTTCAGAGTCTGCTGGATCCTGGGCCGCAGTAGCGGCCATCGCAGCAGCTCGTGCCTCCTTCTTCTTTCTTTGTTTCTCCTCCTTGAGGCGCTTGCGATGCTGCTTCTCCAAGTCCTGCAGCAGCTCCTGGAAGCGGGCACTCCTCGGGTCCACGTGGTATCCCAGGCGCTCCTGGGCCTCCGCCTGCAGCCGGGCCCTCCGCTCCTTGTCTGCTTGCTCCTTCTCCCTGCGTGCCTGCTGCTGCCGCCGCCAATTCTCAATCATCTGTGGCATCTTGGCCATGCACTCTTCAATGAGCTGCTCCCTGCCAGTGAAGGAGGGTGGTTGATGAGGGCAAGCCCCACCCAGCCAGACCAGTACTCATCCACCCACCCCCAAGCCTTTGCCCACATCCTGCCTCTTCCATCTCCCCTATATTTTGAGATGAAAGATTGGGAAGGCTTACGGTGGTCTTTAAAATGCTCAAGAAAAGTCCTTGACAAGTGAAGCAAGAGGCAGGAGAGAGAAACTAGTATGTGTGAAAGTGACAGTGTTAGTCACTCAGTTGTGTCTGACTCTTTAAGACCCTGTGGACTATAGCTGCCAGGCTCCTCTATCCATGGAATTCTCCAGGCAAGAATACTGGAGTGAGTAGCCATTCTCTTCTCCAGTGGCTCTTCCCAACCCAGGGATCAAACCCCGGTCTCCTGCATTGCAGATTCTTTACCATCTGAACCACCAGGGAAATACATATGTATTTAACCTTGAGCAAGCCCCAGTCACTCCAGGAGCAGACCCCAAGTCAACCCAACGTTTCCCTGAGCTGTCTCCTGAGCACTCCCAAGTGCCACATGTTATTCCCATAGCACATTCCTTCATCCTACAGACATCAATGAGTACCCACTCTATGCCAGGCCCACTTCTAGATACAGGAGTGGAGGCAAGAAATGAATCTGACCTTTCCCTCCAATAGGTGGTAGGTGTGAGTCACTGTTCCATTTTTAAGGATTAGAAACATGAAACTGAAAGCCCCACGGTAGGGTTAGCCAGCTGGGATAACTGGGTTTATTTGACGTAGGTTCACATCCCAGCTCTTCGTTCACTGGGTAACTGGACAAGGGACTTCGCCCTCCTCGGCCTCAGTTTACTCTCTCTCAAATAAGGGTGATTCCCTCTTCCTCTTAGAGCTGCTGCGAGGACAAGAACAGTAAACACCAGGAACACACTTGCCTGCCTTTGGCTGCCCCCTCTCTTCAGTAAGTGGCACAATCAATATCTTCGCTCTTGCTTCCATTCTTCCCTCTAAATCCTTCAAACCTGCCTCCCAAGTCCGATCTGTACCCTTGATCCCATGCTCCATCCCCTCTCACACCTCCCCAGCCACACTAATGCCCAGGCTGTTTCTTAAAGCACATACCTACCTCAGGGCCTTTGCACCAGCTGTTCCCTTTACCAAGAACACTCTCCCTAAGATCTTTCCATGGCTACCGCTGATCATTCCTCTCTCTGAGTTGCTCAGTCATGTCCGACGCTTTGCGACCCCATGGACTATACGGTCCATGAAATTCTCCAGGCCAGAACACAGGAGTGGGTAGCCTTTCCCTGCTCCAGGGGATCTTCCCAACCCAGGGATCGAACCTAGGTCTCCTGCATTGCAGGTGGATTCTTGACCAGCTGAGCCACAAGGGAAACCCAACAGGTCTCTGCTTAAACATTTTAAATGTTAAGTTCTCAGAGAAGCCTGAGGCCTACCAAAGCGAAGTCGCCCTCAGGCGTGCACGCTCAACCCAATTTTATCTTCCTAATGACTCTGGGTCACCATCTGAAATTCATTTTGTTCCCCACTATGCCCTCAGCACCCGGGACATGGCTTTGCCCACAGTAGGCGCTAGGTAAAGATTTGTTGACGGATGACTAAATGAACTTAGCCAGAAGTCTTTTTGTATCTAGGTGAGCGTGCACGTAAATACTGCACGCAAACCCCGCGATAAACCGCCCAATGGAGTAAGCACTGTTGCCGCACAGTTCACCGCAGGCCCGCAGCCCCGCTCCCGCCCGACCGCACCCAGGCACCTGGCTTGTCGCTTCTGCTCTTCGGCCAGCTGCTGCACCCGCAGCGATTCCTGCATGACCGCCAGGCTCGGGTACCATTCTCGCTCCTCAGCCTCCAGCTCGAGCAGCTGTTCCCGCGACGGCCATAGAGAACCGGGGTCAACCCCGGAGGCGGCGCCATGCCGCGCGAACTGCTTAGCTGCGTAGCGCGGCCCCAGCTGCCAGCGCGGGGTCAATGGGTCATCCGGGTCGGGCCACCAGGGGTCCCGTGAGCGGCGCGGAGGCGGCGGCGCTCGGTAACCGCGGGAGCCCGGGCCCAGGGTCGTCACCCACCCGAGCAGGCAGCGAGTCTGCCGCATGGGCGCAGCCATCTTGGCCGTGCGAGGTCCCTGTGAGCAGGCCGGGGCTGGCCGAGGCGCTGCCTGCGCGTGAGGTGCTTTGGGGGCCGGGAGGAGGCAAGGAGCTTCTTGGCTGCCTCAGTTCCGCGCAGGGAGTAGAGGGGGGTAGTCTTATTTTTTACACATCTTTAAGTATAATTATAAAATTTCCTGTAGCAGTTAATTTATTAAAATCGTATTTAAATTTTTTCTTAGTTTGTTGTTCATATTTAAAATTTAATTTTATATGTTAAAAATAGCATTTATTTTAAATATTAACATTTAAATGTTTTAAATTTAAACTCATTTAAATATTTATTTAAAACACTGAAATATTTTTATTTTAAATTCTATGTATTATTTTATATTTTAAATCTATGCAACATATTTAATTTTTTTTAAATCCAGGCAAGAATATTGGAGTGGATTGCCATTTCCTCCCCCAGGAGATCTTCCTGACCCAGGGATAGAACCAGTGTCTTCTACGTCTCCTGCATTGTAGGAGGATTCTTTACCCGCTGAGCCAAGGGGGAAGCAATTCCTGGCTACTCTCTAGGTCCATGGGCTTCGATAGTTGCCGCTCGCTGGCTCACTACTTGTAAAGGGACTCTGTTGCCCTTTAGCATTGGAATCATCGGTACCAGGGAACAAACCGTGTCCCGTGTTGGCAGACGATTTCTTACTCAGCACCACCACGGAAGTCCTAAATATTTAAATTTTTTATAAACACTTATTTAAACATTGTTCACAACATTAACTTTTTGTATTATGCTTTTTCATTTGATTTTAATATCTTTATTTAAATTTTAATTTTGAATAATTACTTAAAAGTTTCTTTAACATTTATTTAAATGTTTACATTTTGGGGCCTTCCCTGGTGGCTCAGATGGTAAACAATCTGCCTGCAATGCAGGAGACCTAGGTTGGATCCCTGGGTGGGGAAGATACCCTGGAAAAGAGAATGGCTACCCATTCTAGTATTGTTGCCTGGAGAATTCCATGGACAGAGGAGCCTAGTGGGCTCTAGTCCATGGGGTTGCAAAGAGTTGGACATGACTGAGGGACTAACACTAATATTCCTATCTAAAACACTTGAATTTGAAAGTAAATATTTATGATATTCATAGAGAAATTTTACTTTACATCGTATTGTAAATATTTAGTTACTTTATACCTTTTAAGTTTTTGTATGTTAAAACATTTAAAACATTCAATCCTGGTGTAGAAACTAAATACTATTTTTGAAAAAGGATTTCTACCTTAAAGAGAAAGGAAATTCTGACCCATGCTACAGCATGGATGAAATTGAAAGCCATTATAGTGAGTGAAATAAGGCAGTCAGAAAAGGACATAAGTTGTAT